ACTTAGAGTAATCCTGGTCTTCCTCAGGTAGGTGCTGGGAGGAATGCATACATTTGGGGAACTTCTGTCTAAAGTCATACCCAGGAATTCTGTCCCCATTGAATTCAGGAGAGATACTGACTCATAAGATGGAAAGAACAAAAAGTGGCTGGAAGGAAGGAGTAAACTATTCCCCAAATTCACAAGAGCAAGCTGGTTCCTCTGTCCTGCTCTAAGAGTCAAGCAACCCCACACTGCAGTAGGAAACTTGCGCTCCAGAAGACTGTGGTACTAAATCCAGCTTTCTAATGCATTGTGGTACTTACAAGATCAGCAAGGTATCCTTCCATCTCCTGCCAGAACAGGATGCAAGAAGAGATCGATATTCCTGCAGCATGCACTGGCTGAGAAGGGACATTCAAAGGCAGGGTTCAATTCAGCTGCTGCTTCACCACAACCGCAGTGGGTTGTTACTCCTCTCACATCCTCCCTAAACACAGCCAACTGAGCAATTGGAGATTGCTGGTATCTCCACGAGTTAGCAACATGCTTATAGGAAAGGGTGGGAATCTCCAAGCCTGTAGGTTGTTGGGATGGTTTCAGATCCAGAGCCTGGATGCTGTCCAGATTCCCTCAGAAGACTTTCACACAGTCCTTCATAAATTATTTTGCACACCTCAGCACCAAATTTCCCTGGCAGCGAGCCAAGACAGTATAGTCTACTTCTGGAACTATCTTACCAACAAGGAGGAAGACAGCGATAAAAATATTGTCTTCCTTGTAACTGGTTGCTTGAGTTGCAATGGACTGCTGGAGGACCAATATCCAGCAGATGACAGAGCTATGAAATATTAGCAGGGACCACTTACTCCCCCACCCTTCCCTGCCCTCCATTAGCTGAGACAGTGCAGTGTTCCTGCACTTTGCCAACAAACCTCCAGGTGGCTGCAGGGATCAGCATGACGGAGAACGAGGCAAAATACCTACTCTGCAAGTGGGCCTAGGCATGGTTTCCATTGCTTCACATTCCGTGGATATATCTACATGAGTGTTTTAATTTAAAAATAGGAACGTGCTTTTGAGGGAAATCTCCCAACTGCCTGAGCTCCTCAAATCTTGGTTCTCATTGTGGACTGTTTGTGGCACGTGAAAAGGATTACATTTGGATTAAATTAACCTGAAAGCTGTGCTCTCCTGGACAATGCCTAACATGCTCCAACCTTTCTGGGCATCCAGTCTTCGGGGTCAGGCCACAGCTGGTCCAGAGTACTCCTCAGAGCACATATAATGGGGGTGTCAGGTCCTTGGATCAAATGTTGTGCCGTCCCAGTGAATTCCTCTTGCACTGCACCACTTGCTAATAGACCCCTGGCATAGCTACCACAGTACCTAGAAGCTACTCATAAGAACAGAATCCATCTTCCCAAATGAGATGCAGGCTGTGACAGATGTCTCATTTAGGACAGCACATTACATAGATTAATTCCTCTAGATGATAAAGATCCTCACTCCATTCTGTTAAATGTAATTTATATGCCTGTAATTTTAAAAAAAAAGAGAAAGTGACTGGTAACAATATATTCCCTTATCATTCTACTGCCTGAATTCAAACAAACACAAAAAAAGGACCAAAACCTCTGAGTGTCCATGCACCCTCCAGCATTTGCAAGCAAACTGAATTCTTGTTTTGCCAAGACTTTTGAGAGATGCACATCAACATTTTGCTCAGCCCAGCCTACTCTCTTCCTCCTTTTATTGCCTAGGGAATAGATCTTGAAACTTTCTTATCAGCCATTATCTGCACACAGTCATGTATCTTCTTCGTGACTGACCAAATCATTCACAGTGCAGAGCAACTTCCTCCCTTCATCTGTTCACTGATTTATAAAAAAGAGCACATTTTGCTTTATTAATGTCTATTTAAAACATCACCAGTGTTAATAACTGCAGTGCTCTATTCATATCTTTCTAAGACACCCTGAGTTCACGCAAGTATCTGCATCAGTCAGCTCTTCTACTAGGGCAGTTCTGTGGTCCCCAGAACTGTAAGCATACAGGAGAAGTTCAAACCTGCCCACCAGCGACAAACTGGCAGTGCCTCGGGGCCAGGACCACTGAAGAATTTTAGGTGACTTTAAGGTGAATGTCTAAGGGGCTGAGGAAATCACGTGTCTTCAGGACCAAGTGGGGACTGAGAAGGGACGTTCAAAGTCAAGGTTCAGCTCAGCCATGTCATTTCTCCACTAGGTGCCTGTTTCCCTTTTATTATATCTGGACTTGAGGCACTGAACCTTTTAATGCTGTATGAAGAAATATATCATTAGTGTTACTGAATGTTGTCTTTGCTAAAATCTCACACATAATAGCTCCAGAAGGCTTTAAAAATCACTGCTTAAGCTTCACTGCAGTTTCCATTGCCAGGAAGCTCCAATGACTTAATTAGGTAAATCTACCCTTAGTTAATCTAGAAATAGGACCTGTATAAACAGCAGAACTTTAGGATTGTGATTAATATAGCAAATGTAATTCTGCAATGTAATTTAAATTATGTGTAAGTAAGTCATATCATAAATCTGTAAATGCTTCCAAAGTCTGTAGGCTTCTTGCCAGCATTAATTTTGGTAGAAAGAAATATTTCTCCGGTGTTTGATTGCTTTTCAAACTCCAGGTCTGATATGCTCTTCAAAAATCTGTCGCAGTCTGCCTTCTTGTAATATTCAATAGAGTTTAAAAATAAAAAATTATGCCTATGTATAGATTACTTACATAGATGAAATACTTTACAGAGAAACATGAGCTATGTCAATGTTTATAGCTTTTTGCTAAAACAAAGGCAACAGTTGTATTCAACTACCTTGACACTGACTTATGAAAATATTTTGAACTTTAAATATTAAAAATACAAACTTTGATTAATTTTTTGTTGTATAATGCATACAAATACGCATTGGAGAATAGTCCCATGAAGCAGACCTCCCATGTAAATCACTCAGGGAAAACCTGATTTCTGATTTCATAGAAGTGTAAATCTAAGGATCTAAACCAAAAAGTCATAGAAAAGTTGTTAAATCACAAGCATTGCTTAATAAAGACTACCAACACTATGTTAGATGGCTGATGCAGAACAGACTCGTACTTGTGCCCTGGTACTTAGCTTGATCATGACAGAAGTTTGTGCCATCTCAAAGTCATGGGATAAAGCATCAAGCTATTTTATGGATATGGTCCTAATATGCAACTGTGATGCAGTTATCCATTGTCAGGAATTTGAATTATCAATCTGGAGTTTAAACTAACTGAAGGTGACTAACCCAGGAGATGTCGGGGAGAGCCAGATCATAGAAACATGGTTTGGGTTGGAAGGGACCTTTGAAGATCAAAGAAGATAGAAACTCCTGTTACATCTGGCCAGCAGTGATAAGCCAATATTGCCTGAGTTATTTTCAGATTTGGAGATAAAAAAATGAAGTTTCAGTGACTGTGCTTGACTGTGCTCATATGTCATGGGTTTAGGTTTTAAGATATCAGCTGGATTGAGCTTCTTCCGAACGCCAAGATACAACTGAGGTTTTTCACAAGCACAAACTGACTGCTTTTAAATTCTAATTTTAATGAAGTAACTGAAAAAAAAAAAAGGAAGAACTGAAGCAGTCTGAGTAAATGAAACCCATCAGACAGCTATATCAGGATTGTGTGTGAAATCATTTCATTCCTTTGGCATGTAATTGGCAGTCAGCGACTAGACTCACTATTTGACACATACCTAGTAAAGGACCTCCTGGGGCACCGTCCTCCACTCATCCAGATCGGTGGCCGTTGAGCACGCATGGAGCCAACACAGCATTTGCTGGGAGTGCGTGCGTGTACGCACGCACACACACACACATGCACGCATACACACATGCCCCCACTACGTTCCTGGAAGGCACAGTGAGTGAGCACATGCAGGCCTGGGAACGGGGATGCGTGTCTGAGTTCTGCATTACGGATGAAGCCCACTTTCTTTTATATATGTCCAGGGAACGTACAGAATAGAGAAGGTAACATGGATGTAAACTAAACTGGGACCACCCGTTGATTCATTTTCTCTAGCCTTAATACTCACCTGTTTAATGTTGCCTGATTGATAGTGTAAAATTCAGGCTGGTGTCAACAGGAAGGGTGAGCCAATATTCAGGAACAAAACTCAGTAGGTATCAACTCTGATCCTGCAGTGTTCCCAGTGCCTCCAGATGAAGCAGTTCTAGGTGATGGTCGAAAGAAGCAATGTAATCACTAGCTTGTTGCTGAGCTTGGGCTTTTTCTTTCCTTCTCATGATTTTTAATTAGTACTTCTATCTCTGCTACTTATCGTGGAAATTATATCAAAATTCTGAAGAAACAAAGCCTTATCTCTCTGGAAAATAAAAATCATTAATCCTGCACAGCTGACCTGACAAGGTGATTATTCAGCTAATACAGTACCTTCCTGCCATCTTGTGGCACCGTTGGGTTTGCAGCTTTCTGTTATATTGCATAATTTTTATTTCAAACACAGTTATTGGGTTTTAAGTTTCAGATGCCATCTAGTTAAACAACACACACACACACACACTGAGTAAAAATCTTAGTCCGACTGATAGCAGTGTCAAAACTCTTAAAAAACTTCCAGACTGCACCAATTGTATTAATTTCAATATCTTATTATGTCAAAAAGGAAAAGAAATTCAAACTAAAGCATGTAAAAATGGGTTTCATTTTTAAAGAATAAATTACCGTTAGACTGAAATAATCAGAAGTTATCCCTGAGATAATAATAATAATTGGTATTATGAATTCATCTATATTTTTCATTTGAGATACTTTGGTGTTTTTAAATAGCTACCTCCTTTTTCAAGTCTGCCCGAAGAAAAAAGAAGCTGCATCTTTTATATGACTTCAGGCGAGATCCTTCAAGGGCTTGTTCAAAGTTTACTTATTTTTCAAAAATAGAGGAACATATGAGAATGTACTACTGTCAGATTTCTTGCTCCTTCTTTCAGGCTGGAATCACCAACTCGATCTTTGAGCATGGATGCACCACGAGGAATTAATATCAAAGCACAAGCTGGGAATATTGAAGCTCTTTCCCAGATGGATATCAAACTACACAGCAGTGATGGTGTGGTGAGTGCAAGCCCTTCTGTTTCCATAACTGTGATTGATCTTGCTGTCTGAATATAACTAATAACTTCAAGTCTTTTTTCAAGTTCTGTTAATTCAATTCCTCAGATTTTAGGAGACGGGATATTAAAATTAATGGTGCCAATAGTAAGACTTTTATTTATGGGTCAGATTAAATAATACTACCGATGGACAAATGTTGAATTAGCTTAGAGAAATGCTTTCTAATAAAATTCTAATAGCACTCAGCTCCCCACTAGCACAGTGATCCCCAGGCACCCCAGCGGGGTCCTTAGCCCGAGGCAGGTACTCAGCCCCAGAATTGCTAAATTAAGGAGTGAAGCTCTGCAGACATCATTAAGAGCTGCCCCGTCAGCAACAGCACATGACATGCAGCAGGCTATTTATCCCCTCTGCGAGGCTGTACGGTGCCAGTTCCTCCACAGAGGAACTTCAGACCAACCTGTGTGTCCATTCTTAACCAGCTGGAATGACTACACGGCTTCAGCATTTAGGCCAGGGCAGACCTGGGTCCAGTGGCAGCAGCAGCACCCATGCCCTGCTATTCAGTGTATGGGTAGGGGCGCCCCGTCTCTTATCATTGAATCGTAGAATCATAGAATGGTTTGGGTTGGAAGGGACCTTTAAGGATCACCTAGTCCAACACCCTTGTCATGGGCAGAGACACCTTCCACTAGACTGGATTGCTCCAAGCCTCATCCAGCCTGGCCTTGAACACTTTCAGGGAGGGGGCATCCACAACTTCTCTGGGCAACCTGTTGAGTGTCTCACCACCCTCATAGTGAAGAATTTCTTCCTAATATCTAATTTCACTCTACCCTCTTTCAGTTTAAAACTGCTAACCCGCATCCTATCACTGCAATCCCTGATAAAGAGTCCCTCCCCATATTTCCTCTAGGCCCCCTTTAAGTACTGGAAGGCTGCTATAAGGTCTCCCCGGAGCCTTCTCTTCTCCAGGCTGAACAACCCCAACTCTCTCAGCCTGTCCTCACGGGGGAGGTGCTTCAGCCCTCTGCTCATTCTTGTGGCCTTCTGCTGGACCCACTTCAACAGGTCCATGTTTTTCTTATGCTGGGGGCCCCAGAGCTGGATGCAGTACTGCAGGTGGGGTCTCACCAGAGCAGAGTAGAGGGGCAGAATCACCTCCTTTGACCTGCTGGCCACACTTCTTTCGATGCAGCCCAGGATATGGTTGGCTTTCTGGGCTGCGAGAGCACATTGCTGGGTCATGTTGAGCTTCTCATCACCCAGCACCCCCAAGTCCTTCTCCTCAGGGCTGCTCTCAATCCATTCTCCTGTATTTGTGCTTGGGATTTCCCCGACCCATGTGCAGGACCCTGCACTTGGCTGCCTTGAACTTCATGAGGGCTCTGCTAAGGAAGAGGATGGGCACCAGCTTATCCTTCTCCCTTGTTCCAGTGTCTGCCAAGAGCCTAGGCCTCAGAGCAGCTTTGAATATACCAAGTTTTGGGTAGAAGGCTGTTCTTAAACCACTGCCGAGACAAGGTCAAGTTGGTTTATGACACGCTGTTGCATTATTATCTCTAATGAGCCCATTTGTCCTGCTTTCTCCCATGCAGCTTTTGCTTGATGCTGAAACTGTGCGACTGCCCAAATTGCCTGAGGGTACAAGGGGTGGATCCGGTATTTCTCAGGGGCTTTACGAAATCTGCGTGTGTCCGGACGGAAAGCTCTACTTGTCAGTGGCCGGCGTGGGCTCCACTTGCCAAGAATACAGCCGTGTCTGCCAGTGAGGCACCAGAAAAGGCCGCACACCCCCTTGCTAGTCTGAGTTTTATATTATTGCTAAAGAGCATCACCAAAAGCAGAATTTTTAAAAACGAACTACTTCAGTTTAGGAAACAAATCTGTATCTGCAATTCTGGACTACAGGGTGACAGGGGAAGAAGAGCACAAATGACATTTCAACTTAAAGAATGACTTGAATCAAATTATATGTTCTGTCCGTAACACTTCGAAAACAGCCTTACAGAGAGCATACAAAAAAATACGTTTCCTTGCTGAACTATTATTCAGTCAGATGATTATGTCATTGGTAATGTTTTTGAGCTCCGTGGGTTTTTTCTCTCACTACATGTAAACCCTTACTGCATTAGTGGGTGAAATTAAATTGAGGGAACTACTTGAACTATTTGCTAAGACAAAGCATTATTTGGGGAATTCAGAAAGTGCCAGCAAATGGTCTATGCAATTTTGTTCTTGCAATAACACAAGATATGAAAAATGTGGTATTTGTAGAAGTTCTGTGTAAAAGGTGTTAATTTGCTAATAGCTTTCTGTTTTAATTTGGCAACACATATGCTGATTTGCTTATTATTGAGATTCATATAAAAATAACTAATTCAAAAAGCTCCAGGAGTCATTTACACCTCCCTGTGTCTCAAATCTGTTCACTGTACAACAGAGAAATATGTTAGTATATTTTATAATAGCAATAGTTTGTTGCACTGCCTGTACCATTGTACTCATTTAAACCCTTTTATATTTTAGGACATGCTAATCAACAAGGCAATTTGCTCTGCCAGCTGGACTAGTAAAAAGAAAAAAATCCTTAATGTGGCTCCAGATTGTCTGACACAAGGAACTGTTTGGGCGGTGGGGAAAAAAAAAATCCTTTTTGCAGCCCACAGGATTCAATTAAGAGGACTATTTCATTTCCATCTGCAGCTGCTGACTGGTATTCCTGATCCTGTCAGAGTGGGACTCCATCACAAACAGAGGGAGTAAAACTACTCTTTATTATTTTTTACATTAGGACTTTGGATACAAAGTAAATGCTCACCAGAGTTGACAAACCATTTATTGACCTTGTAGAGAAACACAGCTGCAGACCCATTCCCCTGTATAGTGTTGCACTGAACACAAATAAATTGTTTGCACACCTCTGGGTAGCAGGATTTGTATTTAATAGTCTGTTGTTTAAACCTCATGGGTTTTTAACTCCTTTGATGCTGTTTTGTATAGACTTGATATTATTACCCAGGCGGGAGCTGCTATCACATAGTGCCTTGGTGTCTATTTGCAGAAAGATTTTAACCCATAATCATGATTAAACCACAGAATGTTCATCCTTTTGAGAAAAGAATCATCATCCTTAAAGCAGGAGAATCAGAACAAAAGAATGACTAAGACTATGCTGTTTTTTAAACTTGCTACTTCAGCTCTGGCGGAAAAGTGAAGAAACCTCACACTCAGTTATGATCCCAGATACCCACGAAAGACAGTTGAGAAAGAGCCGCCAGTTAACAGTATCCACTATCACTGCAGTAAAGCCCTGGGTATTCCCTGCCTCAAGGGCTGCCTTTGTAATTTATCCCACGAGTCTAATGTACAATACTGAAATTGCCCTGCATGAGCAGGGTGGAGCCCTCAGCAATTAATGCAAACTAGAAGAGCTTCAACAGGAAAAGTAGGAGACTGCTTAAGCTGAGCTTCAGGCAAAGGAGGCAAGTGAGTCAAGGTCTCCCATGTTATTTGAGAGTGCTCTGATTGCTAACCTATTGCCTAAGGGAGAAGTAGGAAGCCACACAGCTTCCATTTCTGAAATTCCCTTTTCCTGTGCTTAGTCATCGACCTTCAGGAGTGAGTCCAGGGCTGTTGGCCCTAAAGAGAATATGTATCTCTACAACTGTGTGTCTCAGCTATCGCACTCTCTATCTCTCAACTATCTCTCTCTCTACAACTAAGCCCTCAGCTGAGGCAGGCTTTAACAGAAACCTGTCTTGAGCATTCCTTCAAAGTCAGTTTAGGTGGTTCCAGCTCCATGTGCAAGGTTTGGAAACTAAATTACGAGCAGACTTAGCTTATTCATTGGATAGAAAGTATGAATATTAAAATAAAGGACAGCAAATTCCAGTGTATGTGCCAGATAGATGCCTAAAAACTGCTCCTACAAGTAACCTGGAGGGCTGTAATGTCTACAGTCTTTTATAGATGTAGTACGAGAGCAAAACCGGGACTTCAAGTCCTTAGGGAATTCAGCCCCTATCGGGTTTCAAAGGCATTTGAATTGCCATCGTACCTATGTTTCTGACATGAAGGAACATATGCCCACTTCCGCATGGTACCAAACCACTCATTCACCTAATCTAATCCCTAAATGTTGGCCAGATACTGTAAATTAGTTACAATCTGCCTATTCTGCTGGCAATGGAAACGTAGCATTTTAAGTTATGCCTTTTAAGCTGTTGTTTTGGAGGCACATTTTCAAATGCGATTTGGCAGTTAATACAGAGCAAGGGGTGGCATCCAGGCTTTCCATGTACCACAAGAGTAACCTAACCCCCAGACTGCTGGGCATTTGGAAGCCACTTCTGTCGCAACTTCTTGCGTTGAAGCTGCTCAGTTGTAGTTAACATTTTTACAAAGCTGTGGCATACAGCTGGCGGAATCGGTGCAGTTCCCTGGCCAGCAACGCTACCAAGCATCATGGCGCCTCTGTTAGACACTGCAATAACGACCGCCTTCCTTGTGGGGGTAATCCTTTTGGACTCGCCTCCGTTCATTCACAGGTGAATTCTGAGTAGCACAGAAAACTAAATGGGTCTGCTGCATCCCCAGCTCTGCCATCATCCAGCTCACCAGCTTGCCCCTCTTCATTGTTGCAACTTCATGCTTCTTTTCATTATGCCACAGAATTGACATTGAAAATAGAGTTGCATTATATAAATTCTGCAGGTTTTTTGAAGCATGGATGGCAACTTCTTGTCACTGAAGAACATTTTGGGGATTTTTTCTTTTAGTTGTGGTTAGTGGAGAAACAAAGTTTATGCTAAAATTACCACCGTGTAATCAGCTGATGCTATAATCTGAATTGCTGTTAATCTCAATATTGTTCATACATCACTAAATTATCATTTCTGGTATCTCTGTGTGGGTGTCTTTCCATCTCTCTTTAATACTCCAAAATTATTGTTTCTACTTGAATCAAGCTTCAGTAAATAGTTACAGATTAACAGAAAATTATGGCACAGGAGAGTGAGAGTACGCACTTTGGTTTATTTTCAAAAATGTTACCCAAATGGAGAAAAACAAAACAAAACAAAACAAAACAAAACAAAACATTACCCAGCATAGTGAACTTGTATTGTTTACATTTTTTTTTCCCTCAAAAAGAATTATTTAGAGCAGTTCTTGTAACTGGTTGGGATTGTTACACAGTGGAAAAGTAAAAATATCAAAATGGTAGTAAAACTTTATTGGTGATTGCCCAAACACAACCCTCTTTGTTTCCATTTCACAGTCCTTCAGTATTGACATTTGTCTATCTTTATATAGCTTTATGCAAAAAGAAATTGCAAGAATTAACTGAAAACTGAGTTCTTGAATAAACTTTATACATTTTTAAAAGTCTGCTTCTCCTTTCGTGTTCAAATGAAACACAGCTTGAATGAATGTTTTAATTTTTAAACCAAAATTATCTTCCCAAGACTGTAAGAATGTGAAATGTACATTACGTAAAAATATGAATGAAAATCTTGGCCCCAACTAAAAGTATACTTTCCAGAATTTAGAAAATGCTTTACAGTTCACTGGACATCTACAATTCCTTTGTCTTCATCTGTAGCAGATGAAAGTAAGCAAAAAATTATGCCAGCGCTACTGAATTAATCATCCAGAAAGCAAACCAAAGAAAAGAAAAAGAGTTTTGATGAAAAACTCATTGACAAACACCTCCGTGTGACAAAAAATGTGTATCGTCTTCAAATGAAAACATCTACTTTGGCCGTCAAGTTTAATTTTAAACTATTACTTCTGCCCGTACTCCACAATAGCAGTCCGACCATCCTCCAAGTGCTCAGATCCAGCAATGGGAAATCTCAAAGTTGGCACTACCCTCCTTTACTTTAATTGCAGCGATTACAATGGATTTTATTAAAGCAACCCAAGTACCAAGCGAATGCAATTGATATAGTTCTTAAATCCTAATTTTCCAATCACCATAGTAACTTCATTTGATGATGATTTAAGTACAAATATTGCAAAACTGCATTTCTTTATACAATAAACCATTTCTTCTGGTAGTTGGCTACGCAAAAATCTATTTCCTTAAAAAAAGAAAAAAAAGAAAACCTCATGTCACTAGTTGCTGAGGCAAGTGACCGGTGCTTTTTAGAATAGGTGCTAATGCCATTCTTTGAGAGGAAAACTTTTAAAGCTTCCACAAGAAGATCAATAGTAACAAACCTGCCCACGGCTTGTTACAACTGCCCTTCCTTAGATTTAGGCTACTAAATGTGCGGCTACAGCAGTTTCCTGTACCACTGATCCTTGCTAAACCTCCCAACTGTAATCCCGGGAGATAAGACTACCGAGCCTGCTTTTCCTAGAGACATTACTGGTACCTGTGGAAGATAACTAGGACACGCACTGGGCTGAAAAGACCTTTTCTCTCGTGTGAACTTGTGTAATGTGCAGAATCACTTGTGAGATATATTTTTGTGGAATCTACATGCTAACACTTGCTTCTACCGACCCTTACTAAGGACTCATCACATACTAACCGTTCTGAGCTTCCACGCTTAGGAACAAGTACGTTATTCTGCATTTCCCAAGGCTCCCAGCTGAGCCAAAAGGAAGCTGAATTAAGCATTTCATTTATTTATATTTACACGGGGATTAAATGGCACCTATGAAATCAGTTTCTATCACAATACAGTTTCCTGGTCTCATAAGGCCTCTTTATTTAGGCTACCTCTTACAGTGAGTTAAGCTAATAAAAAAAGAAAATAAG